CCCGCCTCCGCCCCAGGACCGGGAGGATACCTCTCTGAGAATGCAAGCCCCATCTCCACCCCAGGACCGGGAGGATACCTCTCTGAGAATGCAAGCCCCATCTCCACCCCAGGACCGGGAGGATACCTCTCTGAGAATGCTCCCACCAGGTTCATGTTTCTTGAATGTCATTCTCCATACATCATCCCGTCTCTCCCCACTGGTGCGCAACCAGTAATCCAGCCGTTCGATGGAAGGTCACTCCATTTTTGACACAGCATCGGGCTTTATTCATGACAGATATCAGGTCCGGCCCTCAGTACCTGGAAATGTCTTTAAGACCAGTGCCAGGGGAATGAGCTTTGCTGAATGATGTGTGGGCTGCATCCTCGATGGGGCTCAGGTGGAATTGATTTAGGATGAGAGGGTATGATGTTGAAAGATCCATCTCACCCAGGGCTAAGTGTCTCAAGGTGATGATCCTGAAAACAAAAGCAATCCTTGTGAAAGTGGAGCTCCGTGGAATCTTAGTCCCACATCTCGAGGGACTTCCAGGCAAAGGTGGGTGCAGAGGCCAATACCTCCCACTTCCTTTAATGTCAGGTGATCTCATGGACCAATCAACACTGTCCTTCAGAATCAGATTTGCAGTTTTTTTTTTTTTTTTTTTGTATTTCTCATGTAGAAATCTGTTTGGCATAATGTGCTACCTGGTATTACATGTCCATCTTGGTGCGCTACATTTTACAGGTTATTGCAGCAGGCAGGAATGTCTTTCATTATTAAACTTGTTTTTTCAACTTACCTGCCCACTGGTGATCCAACCACAGCAATGTCTTTGAGATGCTCAGTCTCAGCATGATAGCACAATCGAGGTAACCTTTGGGTCTACGTACAGAATGGCCTTCAAGTGAACCCCAGCAGAAAAGCTGATGCATTGTTTCTACTTTGAGTGATCTGTCTTCTGCAGTTAATTCGCGTTAAGAATGATTTTGTGAGCTTTTGCTATCACTATTCTGAAGCCATCATTAAGCAATACATAGTTTGCTAAAAAATATTGGCAATTTAATTTGAATATCAAGTTAATTTGGTTATGGAGTACGTTGCACCAATCATTGTTAGATGAAGAATAAAAGCTGTGATTATGATTCATACCTTTTTTGATATTTAGGAGTCTCCGTATGTGATGTTGAAGAAGAACCACGAGCAGTTGGTTGGAAACGACAAATACGAGGGCTACTGCGTGGAGCTGGCTGCAGAGATCGCCAAGCATGTCGGCTACGGCTACAAGTTGGAGATCGTGGCCGACGGGAAGTACGGTGCTAGAGATCCTGACTCCAAGATGTGGAACGGCATGGTGGGAGAGCTGGTCTACGGCGTAAGTGCTTCCTGATGTGTCTCCGATGGATTCGTAGATCACAGGCATGATGATAGCAGCTGGGAATGAGTATTGAGCAAATGAGTACATCTGCTGATGATACGGCCATCGATATCTCATGATGGACACCTTCTGTATGATTTCCATTGATGTATGCGGCTCAGCGCAGGGGAATGAAGCTTCATTCTCTTGAGAAAACTGAGGGTGGGAAGGACACGATGTGTGGATGGAATATTTTAGCTTTGTTTTTTAAACAGCCTAGAGACTATTGTGCAGAAAACACTCCCACCTGCGACAAAAGAAAGGAAATCAACAGGAGAATGCAGTGTATGGTTTGTGAGGTGTTTGCAATGCAGATAGACCCGTGCCATCCTCTAGTGGGCAATCAGAGAGGCTCAGCAGGCAGACGTCTCCAAGCACGAGGGGAGTTCAGCGCTCCGTGCTCAGCTGCCCCGTTCTAAAGCATCGCATTTCTCCATTAGCTAGACAACCTTACTCAATGCCGTTTGATATATTTTGTTATTATGAAGGTATCTGCTAGTGCAATGCCGTTGGCAGTAAATGATGACTTAACTTGGTTTGTTTAATAGATGTTATGAAATATTTGCTAATTGAGGGACTTTTTTTCAAAAAATTCTTGTGGCATAAGCATAAAAATACATCTTTAAAGCAGTGACCTAACAAAGAGCACCATAGTAACATTCTCCTTTATTCCTAAAAAGAAATCCCAGTCTGTCCAAACTAAGTTAATAGATCTTTACTAATGGAATTTCGGCGCACATCAAAAACATTTTTCTGAGGTCTTTCCTGCAGTGTGTTTACTCAGGATGTTCCTCTTTTTGGTTATAATTGAAATTCATATATTCACAAAGACAGCTTAGGAATATGCACATCTGTCATGAATTCAATGAGCTGTCTGACTTAGTTTGGTTAGAGTTCTGATGGATGTTTCTTGGATGTAAAATTAATCAAGTGAATAATTATTTCATGTAGTGCTGGTGAGTTTATAAAGGTTTTTATTATCTTTAATTTTAATTTTTATTTTATAATTTTTTTTTTTACCACGGTATGCGTTGGTCACATATGGGACATAAGTTTGTTTATGTTAAATGAAGTCTAGCAACTTAACATGAATGTTCCTGTTAAAGTCAGTTTCGGTTCAGTTGGTAATATGATTTATTTTATTCATTTCAACTTTCCATAAGTTTCAAAATCCCACAAGTACGTATTGGAGTTTAGCATCGTTTAAATCCTCTGCTGTAGGTTTGTGGCACATTCTGTACTCTTTGACGCGTTGCGATTCTGTGTCATTGTCGATGCAAAACCACAAACCGAGAGCCAAAGAGAATCTAATTAGGGTATGAAACCATATTGTTGACAAATAACTTATTGTTATAAATCTCGGGAGGTTTGGTGATGGTTTCACTTGTTTCTAGATAACAGGAGGTAGGATGTCGGAAGGTACCAGTGCAGAAAATGGGAGCTGTTGGCTAAAAGTCTATATGTATAAATATAGGCGACCATAGGTGTCATCCCTCCGGAATGTTCCGTAATCTATGATACAGTGTACCGATACGTGTATATCCCAGATAGATGCAAAAAGCAGAGAACATAAGAATGTGTTTCACTTCGCACTATTTGTTCAGCATCGTGATCTCTGTCCATTGCCGTCCGTGGTTGACTTATTTTGCGTTACATCTGTTTGATACAGAAAGCCGACGTGGCGGTGGCTCCGCTGACCATCACCCTGGTCAGGGAGGAGGTCATCGACTTCTCCAAACCCTTCATGAGCTTGGGAATCTCCATCATGATCAAGAAGCCAACAAAGTCCAAGCCGGGCGTGTTCTCCTTCCTGGACCCACTGGCCTACGAGATCTGGATGTGCATCGTCTTCGCCTACATCGGCGTCAGCGTGGTTCTGTTCCTGGTGAGCCGCTTCAGCCCCTACGAGTGGCACGCCGAGGACTTCGAGGAAGGACAGGACCAGCAGCAGAACCAGCAGAACCAGGCTTCTTCTTCCGGCCAGCAGGGCCAGAACCAGTCACCACAGAATCAGCAACAGCAGCAGGAGCAGACTAATGAATTCGGGATTTTCAACAGTCTCTGGTTCTCCCTTGGTGCCTTTATGCAGCAGGGGTGTGACATCTCGCCTAGGTGGGTTAGTTATACAATCGGCATAGATATAACCAGAGAATACGGCTTGCGTGCTATATGATCTTTATGGTTCCCATGGATACCACGGTGGAATTTTTCCCGGTTTGAGAGGAGAGTATAATATGTTTTTCAAAAACTCTGTTGAAAAGCAGGAAATGAGCCTTTGTTGAAAAAGTGTTTGATGTTAAGCTTCAGAGTCTTCAATGTCCTCCAAAAGCAGAAAGTGTAGGGGGTGGTCCACACACCATAATGAGGTGTCTTTGGTTCGGTTAGTGACAGAGGCTGGTCCTCGCTGTCAGGACCTCCCAGGAAGCAGTGCTCGTGCCAGGTAATGCGTGGTGATGGCAAGCGTGACGTTAAAGGGCTGCTGGCAGCTTCCTGTCGCTGGGCAGGCGGAGCTGGGCCTCAGCCCAGGGCCCGCGCATGCCCACCACCGCCGCAGCAGAGCGTGCCAGCATGCCGACATGCAGTGACCCATTTAACAAGCTCTGAGTCACTCTGCCCGTCTTCTGCCACTTGCAGTAGTTCACCGGACCTTTTACCGGCTTCGGCAGGTCGTCCGTTATGCTCATCTGGGAAACCTGGATGGCCTCGCTTTTACGTAAATATTTACACCGTCTCCAGAGAGAGATCGTCCAGCAGGCGCACACTGATCATCGGGAAGTTCAACAATTTTCCCACTGCGCCGGCCTTTCTTCCCCAAACCCGGCATTATGTACCGTGTTTCCAGGTCGATCGCAGGAGATGATTAATGGATGATGCTTTATTTCATTGGTGGCTGATTGCAGTTGGGTGGCTGGTAAAATGTACCCAAGGGAAGGTCAGAAGCTAATTCCCGGGCTGTTTTCCGTTGCCAGTCCGCCCCTGACATGTACTTGCTGTGGTGCAGAAAGGCAGGAAGCAATGGCTGTTGTTTGACCGAAAAAACATGGTGAGATGTTTGTGCCACTTACACATAACTGTACAGTTCCGCTACCAATTCATGTGGTTCCCATGTTCCGCCAGAGACGTGAAAGATACATTGCTAATCCCCCCACTGATTCAGATCCTAATTAGGGACCTTCATTTGTGAGACTGCAGTGTGGTCTGACCTAATTTCTCTCAGGAACTATACCATCTTACAAAGGCAAAACACCATAACGTAATTTATCAAAACTGACTTATCACCGAAGTTGGGTCTCTTAGGCTCTGTTTTATCTCATGACAAAATGGCTTAGTTCAACTATGCTTGGTTTGGAAGAAAGCGCCATTGTTTACCTACCTACTACACATAAGAATGGACACTTGAAAAACTTGAAGCCCTTTTTCTCAACTTCAGCGTCAGCATAGTTCTTGTATTCTGCCTTTGGGGGGCAGTATTGGGGCGGGGCAAGAAGGGGGTACAGCTCACCGTATGTGCGTCTGCGTGCACACAGGGCTGTGGCACGTCGATGTGGGACGACGGAAAGCGAGCCCCCACCCTGCAGGAGCTCTGGCTGCCTGCACACCTCCACTTTGGATTGACACCTGTGGCTTTTTGTCAGAATTCGTTACTGGCTAATTGAATCAGGCCGACCTCACATGATCCCCGGCAGCGTCCTCAGTGTTCGGCTGATGTTATTACCGGCCTGGCATTTATAGGGGCTGCCATTTTGGCGTGATGTCAGCTCTTTGTATTTTTTTTGCGCTAAGGGGAGTCGCAAAACTCCATAAAGAATTGATTTTGGTTGATGCTCGTGATAAATGTACAGTTCTGCAAGGTAGCAAAATGTCAGCACCCTAACTCTGCATTTTGGGGACATATTTTCCTGTGTAGTTTCTGGTTGAAATATATGAAAATGAGTCTGGCCCCGTTGTACATTGATAGAATTCCTTACTGAGATTTGGCCGTTGACATGACAGACCTGCTATAATTTATGGTGTCTGTACTATGCAGGCAGGAAGACGTTGTCTTAATAGCAAATCTGACAGACAGCAAAGCATTTGCAGTCTTTGCTGACAGAGTAAAGAAATATATGAAACAAAGCAACAAAAGCAATACTGTGTAGACATACAGGAAGATATCATGGCCCCCGAGTGATTAAGCAGTGAATTTAAGCAGTGATTTCTCACAGTATGGATGGATGGATGATTGCCTTTGATCAGTCTCTGAGGTTTCAGTTGACTTTCTTGTATTACTGGACATCACAGTTCCTGCTGGCACAAACAGAAGTGTCCGTGTCCCTTTGGCTTTCGGATTATCTGAAGGCATTACTCCCTTCACAAATACCCATAAGGCTGTGGGGCGGTGAAATGCGGGGCACTGGCTGGATGATTGCGGGCAGCCACTCTGTCTCTCTGCTGATATCTGTTTGTTCCGCATCCCAGCTGCTTTCTCTCCCCTTGACTGTGGCGATGGCCAGGCAGCACCTGCACTTCAGCTTGCGCCTCACACCGTCCTCTTCACAGCTCAGTACTCTTAATAGGCCAGAGGGTCCCGCTCCCAGGTTCCCCCCGCAGTCGGCAGCCAATGCAGGTTTGTGTTGCACAAACACAGCACATTTCCGTAGCTAGCCAGGTTAGACAGGTCTGGGAGGCATGAGGCATGTTCTTGTCAGATTTTTCCAGAGCAAATGATGCTTGGAGCAGCGTGGATCCCTGTCGTCATGCTGTCGGCTCCGACAGTCCGGTGTGCGACACCCCGCATCCCTGCTCCATAGCAATCGGGCAGACCATTTTTCCTCTCCGTTCTCCCGTATGTCGATTCTGTTGTTTTTGCCCATCTCCTGTCACTCCTTCCTCCTGTCTGGAGAGCCTCGTGGGTAAAAATGTGGGCTCTCGACCAGGAAGTATCTGGTATCATTCCCAGGAGGGGCATTTTTAGCAGGACACCTGCTCCAGGAAAAAATCCTCTACTATGTAAATGGAGAAAGTATGCAAACATAAAATATGTTAGTGCCAAGTGAGGAAGACAAAAATAATATAAGAATATATTATGTATCCCTGCTCTGCTACTCTCTTGTCACAAAATGTTTGATGCTTAAGAGTCAAATCAATATATATGAAATAATCCCATGAAATCTATTCGTAATAAGTAGCTTTATAAAGTTTTACCATGTTGATATTTGAAGAACTTTTTCCCTCCATTTCTAATCTGAGTCGAGTTGTTTATGTCATGTCACTGACAGCTACGCTAATCATGCTCACAGAAAAGCACTAGGAACTTAAAGAGGCTGCTGTGATTGGTGGAGTTTTCCTTGGGGATACTGCTTTGGCAGTCAGGCACAGTTTCTGGACTTCAGTCCCAAAGAGTAAAAGAGAGCCAAGAGCTGAGAGGAATACAGAATGGACCAAAGTTACCTTCAGCAGGGAAAACAGAAGTCTGTCAAACCTCAGTTGCTCTTTGAACTAGAGAGAGCTGTGTGTGTGTGTGTGTGTGTGCATGTGAGCATGTGTGTGTGTCTGTGTCTGTGTGCATGTCCCACAGTGCAACAGGCGGACCCATGAACCGTTGCAGTAATCCATCTGCCCGCGGCAAACTAGTCTCTAAGGACTCACGCTTGGCTGCACTTAGGAAAATGCAGCGGCCATTTAAATGGCACCTGGCTTCGGTTGCCCCTTCAGGCTGGCCTAGGAAGCATAGGGCCTCACCACCAGATCCGTCCTGGAGAAGCGGCCGGTCCCCGTCTGCATGGGTGAGGCTCGTACTTCGGAGGGATGTGCAGGTTCGAGTGTATACTGCTGGCACGTTGCAGGCTGTGGCAGAAGGTCAACCTCCTTCCAAGGGGTGGGGGGGGCTCACCGGGATCTGCTGTCGGCTGCCGGGGTGATTTATTCGCCGGCATCTGCCAGGCAAAAGTGCCCTAGGATCCCCCGTGGGCGGCTGGACATTTAGTTGTGCGAAGGCGCTGGGTGCCGCCATGCCGCTTGGTGGGGGATGTGGCGATGCTGTGTGATGCTTGCATGTCAAATCCCTGCCGTCTCCTTACTGAGCCTTAATTTAAGCTTGGCTGTGGTGCGGCTGGTAGAGTGAGCTGCGGAGACCAGGCCCTTTCCTGCTGAGATCCCCACTGGATAGCAGACGCCGATATCAGAATGAATATTCGAAAGGGGAACTTGAGGTTTATTTTAAACCTGGCCGCCAGTCTCCTGCTGTCGTTATAGCAAAGTCTCTCCATCACATTAAACCCTAACAGATGTATTACTGAACATAGTATTACTCATATGGATATTAGTGCACCTGTCTTCTGCCATTGGGCCCCCACCAAAAGACAAACCTGTGAGGACACTTACCTCTAGAAAGATTTCTGTGAGCCTGTCCCATGACTGTCTGTGACGTTGTCTTGTGCTCTACTCAACATTGCTAAAAACGACCTTTTACATTAAAACATAAACCACAGGGGCTTGTTGTGAATCCGCCTTGGCATAGCTGATGGATGAGACGCTGTGTGTGATGCTGTTGTTGGTAGCCATGTTTCTCCAAAGAGAATCAGAAAGGACTGTTTAGGAGTAGACTGAGACTGATGGACTATTTAGGAGTAGACCGAGACTGATGGACTGTTTAGGAGTAGACCGAGACTGATGGACTGTTTAGGAGTAGACCGAGATTGATGGATTTAACTGTTAAACTGAGGGTTAGGGTTAGGGTTAGACTGATCTGCGGGTTTCCCACTGAAGCAAAGAAGCACTCCCTGTTATTCCTGGAAGAGAGCCTCGGACTCGTCTGCCCCACCGGGCGCCAGGCGACAAACCCAACAATAAAGCCCTCTTTCCACTGATCTGTGGTTCAGCTTGGTGAGTGGAGATCGCTGCCATGGCAACAGGGAAGACTTTACTGGAAAGGCACTGGGACTTGGTGCTGAGTCCAGCCGGGCCATGCATGTGTGTGCGGGGGAGGTAGGGAGTGGAGGGGGGGTCCTTCATGTTGTACCGGAGAAGAAAACATTGATGAAAATACCTGTCCTTTGTTCTCAGTGTCTCCTCTCTGCCCACTGTGAAGTGAGTATGTGGGGCATTCAGCCTGTTCACAGGGCCGTGCTCTA